CCAATGTCAGGCATGCATACATGCAAATGGTGGCCATACAAACTACTGAGTACCATTTTGAGTTGCTGCAATGAAATTTCAGCAAAATGGACTAGCCTGCTGCATCATTTTTTCACTTTGATTTTCGGGGTGTGTTTGAATTTAGTCCTCTGTAGGTTGATCATTTTCATTTCCATTAAATGATGAGGCATCCATTCCTAACACATTACCCAGTCCATATCAGTACAGATATCCAGCAGGACATTTTTCCTCATTGAGATCTGATGTGTTTTCAAAGTGTTCCTTTAATTTTTTTGAACAGTGTATATATATATTGTGGGAACTCGCTCCAAAGTGGTAGAGCTTTTAAACGCACACAGCTACTCGCTTCCTTTTTAGGGCCTTTTTAGCCCACTTTTATTTAAACGAAAGTTCAAAACAGAAGTTTCCCACACAGGGGTATCCACCATCAAACAAAACAATGATTCAGCCTCCTGGCTTACACTCCGCTTGATGTCTGTCTCCTGCAGACTTCTTCAAGAATTATGGCCACTAGCACACAGCTAGTCTCTAGCAGCCCCTTGCTGCTTTTGGCTTCCACCTCTCCTAGGTGAAGCCCACCTGACTCCTGTCTTTCAGGTGGAGTCCTCCTGACTCCTATCTGCCGGGGTGGAGCCCTCCTGACTCCTGTCTGCCGGGGTGGAACCCAGAACTCTGGTCCTGACTCTATCTAAAGGCCTGCACACACCTGTGCAATCAGTCTCCTGGCCATTCCCAAAACCTGGTCCCAGGATTGGAGATTTCATCCCTCCCAAATCGCTTCGAAATCTCCAGGCTCCAGCTCCCAAAATGGACCTTACAAAGGAGGAAAGTGAAAAGCCACTTTCCTCCATATCAAACCTTTACCCTGGAGCCCCTCAACCTGCCTTGTTGAGAATCCAGGGTGACAGATCGCCACACTGTCACACTATATATATATATATATATATATATATATATATATATACACACACACATACGTATGAGTCTGTCTCTTCCTCCAGCAGCAGAAAGCTGACAGGAGGGAGAGGGGGAGAAACCTCAAACCGGCTTTCAACTGCTGGAGGGAGAGATACACAGTGAATCCTTCTGCAACTGCTCTTCCCCACCACACCAATCCTCCTGCTTTTCGGGCCACTTACAGGAGTACCAGTGGCCCTGCATGGCTCTGTCCGCCACTGCTCACCAGGTTCCTTCTTCCGACGGGGGCGGTGCCACCCCCCTAAAAATTTCTGCCCTAGGCAAACGCCTTGTTTGCCTTGTGGTAGATATGTCCCTGGTGAGAGACCTTGCGCTCCTCCACCTTCCATTTGAGGATGCCCCACAGATGCTCAATAGGGTTTAAGTCTGGAGACATGCTTGGCCAGTCCATCACCTTTACCCTCAGCTTCTTTAGCAAGGCAGTGGTCGTCTTGGAGGTGTGTTTGGGGTCGTTATCATGTTGGAATACTGCCCTGCAGCCCAGTCTCCGAAGGGAGGGGATCATGCTCTGCTTCAGTATGTCACAGTACATGTTGGCATTCATGGTTCCCTCAATAAACTATAGCTTCCTAGTGCCAGCAGCACTCATGCAGTCCCAGATCATGACACTCCCACCACCATGCTTTACTGTAGGCAAGACACACTTGTCTTTGTACTCCTCACCTGGTTGCCGCCACACACGCTTGACGTCAACTGAACCAAATAAGTTTATCTTGGTCTCATCAGACCACAGGACATGGTTCCAGTGTTCCATGTCCTTAGTCTGTTTGTCTTCAGAAAACTGTGGGCTTTCTTGTGCATCATCTTTAGAAGAGGCTTCCTTCTGGGACGACAGCCATGCAGACCAATTTGATGTAGTGTGCGGCATATGGTCTGAGCACTGACAGGCTGACTCCCTACCCCTTCAACCTCTGCAGCAATGCTGGCAGCACTCATACGTCTATTTCCCAAAGACAACCTCTGGATATGACGCTGAGCACGTGCACTCAACTTCTTTGGTCGACCATGGCAAGGCCTGTTCTGAGTGGAACCTGTCCTGTTAAACCGCTGTATGGTCTTGGCCACTGTGCTGCAGCTCAGTTTCAGGGTCTTGGCAATGTTCTTATAGCCTAGGCCATCTTTATGTAGAGCAACAATTCTTTTTTTTCAGATCCTCAGAGTTCTTTGCCATGAGGTGCCATGTTGAACATACAGTGACCAGTATGAGAGAGTGAGAGCGATAACACTAAATTTAACACACCTGCTCCCCATTCACACCGGAGACCTTGTAACACTAACGAGTCACATGACACCAGGGAGGGAAAATAGCTAATTGGGCCCAAACTGGACATTTTCACTTAGGGGTGTACTCACTTTTGTTGCCAGCGGTTTAGACATTAATGGTTGTGTGTTGAATTATTTTGAGGGGACAGCAAATTTATACTGTTATACAAGCTGTACACTCACTATATTGTAGCAAAGTGTCGTTTCTTCAGTGTTGTCACATGAAAAGATATCATAAAATATTTACAAAAATGTGGGGGGTGTACTCACGTCTGTGAGATACTGAATATATGCAACTAAGGAAATTTTTGTGCATGGCAGTTGAATTTTTGCTTAAGCATAATTTCTTCATGTCTGATTCAAAATATTACATTCAATGTCAAGGGGCATCAATAGGAGCTATGTTCTCCCCCTCATTAGCAAACCTATATATGGGATGATGGGAAGAGCCTTTTTTATTGTCACAATAACATATATATCTCATATTGCCTGATAGAGCCATTTTATTGGCTAATTTTAGTCTGGATGGGTACAGTTATGGAGATAGAAAACTTCACTGTATATTTGAACATTAATAGTTTTAATTTGGAATTTACATACAACTGTCATCCGAGTACCATTGACTATTTGGATTTGACTTTAACAGGACATGTAGGGAGTGGATTTGTCACTATCAAAACATAGAAAACAGTGCATGGGCAATTTTCTATTGCTTGCCTCTAGTTGTCACCCAACACATACTATCAGAGCATTACCCATAGGTGAGTTTGTGAGTGCGAAAAGGAATTGTTCTACTCAATCCAATTTTTAAAAATGTGATATAATCTCAGGCAGACTAAGAGAGCGGGGTATAGCAAGCATTTGGTAGATCAGGGTGTCAGGAGAAAAGACGAGGAAGTCCATGCAAATGCGCCAATGTGTATTATCTCATGTGTATTATCCTGCTGCTGATTACCTGTTACCAACCTGGCTTGACCCTAACCTGCCTTGGCTCTCCTCCTGGCTCTCTGCCCCGCCTTTATCCTGACCTTGCTCCTGTCTGCTGTATTGACCCTGGATCTGGGTACTATCTACTCTACTCATCCACCGGGATCCACGTGTCCTCTAGTGGAACTCCGCCTGCATCTGGAGCACTCACGGGCACCTTCTCATCAGGCATCACCAAGCAGCGACACCACTGCCAACCCATGCTTCTTTGGGCACTGCACCTCCTGTTGCCACATCCAAGGGCGCACTGCACTTAGCCATATGGGGTACCCTCTCTCTATTCCAGCCTCCGGTCAGGTACGTGATAGCGGGAATGATTGCAGCCCTAGAAAAACATCGGGATAATTTAATCACTGAACCCTCAAAGAAAGATAAATCTCGTAAATATAAATCATGTCATAAAGTTAATTTTGTGACCACATATTCCATGCAATACAATCAAATTGTCAGCATTGTTAAAAGATGCTTACCGATACTTTATGCGGATAAGGTGTTGTGTGATATTTTAAAATATGGCTGTAACTTTACAACTAGGAGAGCTCCTACGTTAGGTACTTTACTATCACCTAGTTTATTTTGTTCAAGAACCCATCATAAAAATAGTGAATGGTTAAGAACTAAGGGTTCCTACCTGTGTGGCACAAACACATGTACACAAAGCATACATAAAAGACATAAAAAAAGCACTGCAGTTAAAAAAAAAAAATTAAATTTTTCATTTTTGTACTGTCACCAGTCAGTGTCACTGATCGTCGCCACACCAGTCATATGATGATGCTGTATGGCACTGTTAGAGCATGTAAAAAAAGGTTTTTTTTTTTTTTAAATTTCTTCATTTTTCAAAAAATTACAACTTTTACAAATTTGCCATGCCTCTTCCTAAACACCTTGGATTGTCTGCTTTTCCATTTGGGGCATATCTGAACTGTCCTGATATTTTTGGGCCTGAAGAAATTAGATAGGCCATCAGTACAATTTTCAGAGATATACCATAGTTTGTGGATTCTATAACTTTCCTACAGACTAAATAATAAACACTGATTTGAGGTATTTTCACCAAAGAAATTTAGCAGTATACATTTCGGTCTAAATTTATGAAGAACAAATTTTATAACAGAAACAAAGAAAAACATGTTTTTTCAAAATGTTTGGTCTTATTTATTTAGCAAAAAAATAAAAAAAAACAGTGATGATTAAGTACCACCAAAAGAAAGCTCTATTTTTGTGAAAAGAAAAGTTAAAAATGTCATATGGGTACAATGTTGCATGACTGCGCAATTGTCATTCAAAGTGCGACAACGCTGAAAGCTGAAAATTGGCCTGGACATGAAGGGGGTAAAAGTGTTAGCAAGTGGTTAATGCATGTGTCAATGAGTTTTATACACATTGAAGATTTCTGCACAGAAAAAGTCTCCATGATACTAGTGTTGTGCGGTGAACAGGGCACATAGAAAACAATTGTTTTCGCTTTGTCCTTGTAAAACGTGTGCAGAAAAACAGACTTCTCTGCACGAGGCCTAAGAGAAATATCAGAACCGGCCCGGTTTTGAAGTGTTTAACGTGTTAATAGAAATTACTACCACCATCATAGTCCTCTATGATTTCTGCCCATAAACAATGTGTGGTACATGACTAGAGCCCGTCACTGTAGGGGACAGAGGATGAATGTGATAGTATGAGGAGGCCGGCAGCGCTGTGTGGAGATGCTCCTGCCTCTTTAAAGCCTTATAACCTGAGCCGGCCCCAGGAACATGGCGGAGTCCGGTGGAGGAGAGTTTAGCTGTCTCGGGCACAGCAGGTGAGCGAACACGTTATGTACAGTGAGGGGGGACAGGAAGCCGGTGTCCTGGGGTCATACAACGGCCGGGCACTCCTCCTATGTACACACAGCGTTCTATAGTACGGGGAGGCGCTGCTAAGACACTCCGGGGATGATGGTTGGTGCAGGCCTCAGAAAGGGGTGTGGAGCCGGGGGACTGCGAGTCTGGAAACTTCCTCCTTTTCCTCACTATCCTGCACGGCTTCGTCATGGACCTGTGCTGGGTTAGCAGTGCTAGACTTGTGCTGTGGTACCGGCTCTGATATCTCTTCCATATAGTATAGTTGGAGTGGAACTTCTATAGAGCTGTGCACACAGGAAGAGGCTTTCTAATGCAGAGGGGACATATTATATTACCTGGAGAATTCTTTTTTTGAAGTGCAGCACCCCAAAGAATGATTCATGTAACTGGCACAGACAATGCCATGACTGTATGACCACCCATAACGAGAAGAGAGTGCCAGCCCTCAGTACTGAGTTGGCACATGGCCTTTTTATATTAGGGATAGGCGGAGCCTAGTAAGGAATCAAGAGACTAGTTCACCATCAGGTCCACTTTTGATTGACAGCTCTCAGTAGTGGGGCAGATCCATAGCACCATTCTGTCCAATAGCAGTTTTCAAAGCGGCACACTGCCATGCAAAGTAAGGCTGTCTTCACACACATCCGCTTTTGGCGCGTCCTTCAGTTTAACTGCTTGCCTGCCGCCCTTATAGTAGAAGTACTGCTACAGGGCTGCACAAAATCACACACACATGTAAATATATATATATACACACACATGTGATTTGCATTTCCAAGTAGGGGGGGTGCACACTGCTATTGGTGGCTAGGGATGTCAATCACTGTGAGTTGCACCGCGCCAGTGGTTGTTAGGACACGATCAGCTGCACCGCGCCAGTGGTTGTTAGGACACTGTCATCTGCAGAGCCCCAGTGGTTGTCAGGACACAGCTGCACTGCGCCAGTGGTTGTTAGGACACTGTAAGCTGCATAGTGTTATTGGTTGTTAGGACACTGTCAGCTGCAGAGCACCAGTGGTTGTTAGGACACAGCTGCACTGCGCCAGTGGTTGTTAGGACACTGTAAGCTGCATAGTGTTATTGGTTGTTAGGACACGATCAGCTGCACTGCGCAAGTGGTTATTAGGACACGATCAGCTGCACTGCGCCAGTGGTTATTAGGACACGATCAGCTGCACTGCGCCAGTGGTTATTAGGACACGATCAGCTGCACTGCGCCAGTGGTTGTTAGGACACTGTAAGCTGCATAGTGTTATTGGTTGTTAGGACACTGTCAGCTGCACAGCATCGTTGGTTGTTAGGACACTGTCAGCTGCACAGCATCGTTGGTTGTTGTTGTTAGGACACTGTCAGCTGCACAGCATCGTTGGTTGTTAGGACACTGTCAGCTGCACAGCATCGTTGGTTGTTAGGACACTGTCAGTTGCCAGCATCATTGGTTGTTAGGACACTGTCAGCTGTACATCATCGTTGGTTGTTAGGACACTGTCAGCTGTACATCATCGTTGGTTGTTAGGACACTGTCAGTTGCCAGCATCGTTGGTTGTTAGGACACTGTCAGTTGCCAGCATCGTTGGTTGTTAGGACACTGTCAGTTGCCAGTATTGTAGCAAACTTGCTCATCAGAGATGGATGCGGAGTTCCCCTTTTTTCTATTATAAGTATTCCTCAATCCTTTATTCTCCTTCCCCCCCTCCCTTCCTGAGAGGCACAGTGACAGATGTGTGTGCTGGTTATGGGTCAACCGCAGGTTAAGGCATCCCTAGTTCGGTGATTGTAACCTCATAAAACCTAACAGTTAAAGGTGACAGAATGAAATGAACATTCCTCAAGTCAGGTTTTCCCCTATGTTTCATGTCATGGATTATAACAGATTTTGGTTCTAATTCAGAGTTCGCCCGACTGACCCCTCCCTAAACAGCGTATTGGTCAGTTACTCAGAGCCATTCCCCCTGCTGGGGGACTTTTAAAAACTGAGGTAACAGGCCTAAAGAGTTAAGCAAGAGTCATCTCCTAATTTTTAACATCATAACAGCAGGAGATCAAAGACCCTTTTTGCTCTGCAACTTGGATCTGCTACCTCAAGGCTTAACATGGCAAGTAAATTAACCTTTTAACTTCTCCCTGTTATCTCTTTGCTGTGCTGGCTGTTTTCTATGTATATATAAAATATATACCTTAGTTACATTTTCTTTGTAAATATTTTTATTGCCCTGACCTACAAAGCCGTTCACAACACTGCCCCTGACTACCTCACCAATCTGATCACCAGGTACCACCCTACCCGTACCCTTCGCTCCTCACAGGACCTCCTTCTATCCTGCTCCCTGGTCTCCTCCTCCCATGCACGACTGCAGGACTTCTCCAGGTCCTCCCCCATCCTCTGGAACTCACTGCCCCAATCCATCAGACTGTCGCCTTCTCTATTCACATTCAGGCGCTCCCTCAAAACCCATCTCTTCAGGGAAGCCTACCCCACCCTCACCTAACGGCCATCCTCCCTCATTCCTCCTACCACTTCATCCCCCCCAGCCACTTCCTACTGTACCTTTACCCCCTCCCTCCTAGATTGTAAGCTCGTAAGAGTAGGGCCCTCTTACCCCTCGTACGCTGTCTGTCTTTGTTGTACTGTGCCATGTATTGTCCCCCCCTATTGTACAGCGCTGAGCAAACCCTTTGGCGCTATATAAACTCGTAGTAATAATAATAATAATAATAATATTGCACCTGTTTGACTCTTTTAGTAATAAATCTTTCTTTCTGAAAGTGTTAAACTGATTCTAAGCGCTTACTTGCAATTCACGAATTCCTGCCTTTTGAAGAGACGCTACTGTGTTTGTTTAATCCTCTGCCCAATCGGCCTGCGGTGACCGTATTGGACAGGAGACTTTTCAACCATTACAGTGTATATTGGATAAAGAGAGTTTCCCCTTTCTCTGTACAAAAAGGGATGGTGGCAGTGAAGGGTTAGTTGCGTAATTAACCCGACCCAGTAACAAGCGCATTCAGGCTGCCGGTGCGTCAATTGCGTTCCATTAGCTGGACAATCGTTGTGCAGGGCGCAGCTGAGTGTGGCATTGTTACGCACGTCACATCGCGGTTTTAGATCGACCGGTCCTTTGGTCACGAGTTTGGTGAGAAGGTCTGGGGTCTGACGCCGTGGGCGTGACGTATTATTGTTGGTCGCGGTTGTGCGATTGTCGCATGTTGAGGGTGGCGATCAGGCGACCGTGACAAGCATCATTGGTTGTTAGGACACTGCCAGCTGCATGGCATCATTGGCTGTTAGGACAGGGTTTGACAGATTTGCTTTGAATTTAGGAGGCAGCTAAAAAAATTAGGAGCCAGTTTTTTTCAGCGTAGCATGGGTTGTCAGCTCCTGGGGCAAGGCAACTTTTGGGCGACAAGCTTCATGCAATGCGATTTGCCATGCGATGATCATGACAAAACCACACCCCCGTTTTAGGTGCCAATGAAAAATAATGGCATCTGAACCTGCATTTTACGATCATAGTGATTCAGCCGCAATTCCAAAACACCCAGGTGTAAATGGAGCTGCCCCTTGGTTCACACATATGTGATTCTGGATGTGTTTTCAAACTCACAGATTCACATGATTGGCTAGATATTATGTGTTCCTATTGAGGTGGTTCACACAGATGCAATCCGCACACATTGTGTTTTGAGTGCCATTATGAAAAGTGTCCTGTGCACGTTTCTAGCAGTGCGTTCCAGATTCACAAGTGGCATGCGGATATAAGTGTTCACATAGTATTGCTATTGACAGGAGTTTTTGCATTGATGTCAGTGGGAGCCATTTTTGCATTGAATTCAGCGGGAGAGGCGTATTTGCATTGAGGTCAATAGGAGGCATCTTTGCATTGAGGTCAGTGGGAGGCATCTATGCATTGAGGTCAATGGGAGGTGTCTATGCATTGAGGTCAGTGGGAGGCGTCTGTGCATTGAGGTCAATGGTAGGTGTCTATGCATTGAGGTCAATGGGAGGCGTCTTGCATTGAAGTCAATGGTAGGTGATTTTTGCATTGAAGACAGTGGGAGGCATTTTGCACAGAAGTCATTGTGTGGCAGGGTCCTAACAACCAATGATGCCGGCAGCTGAGAGTGTCCCAACAACCAACAATGCTTTGCAGCTGACAGTATCCTAACACGGGGCTCGACAAATCCCAGTCTCCAAGATGCCATTTCTAGTGTCCTGGCGCCTGAGATTTGTCCAGTACTGTGTTAAGACAGTGTCAACTGCTGGCATCATTGGTTGTTAGGACACTGTCAGCTGCAAGGACACTGGGAGCCTTCCCCAACATCAGAGCACACTGATCAGTTTTGCTGGCTGTAGTCGGTGGTACTGAATGTTTGGGAAAAACCCCACAGGCTGGTTGTACAGAAATCAATCGGTAGATCAACTTCTGCACAACCAGCCTGCCCATGCATAATTCGAAATCCAGCGGGTTTTCTCTGAACTGGCCAAATTTCAATCACACTATGGCCGTCTTTACTCTAGTTGCAGCAGAAGCAACATTTCAGAATGAGAACTACTGGTATGTACAATTGGGCATGTACAATAATCATTAAAAGTCACCTTTACTTGTAGGCACTGTTTGAATGGAGATCTGTTTGCCTGGTCAAATGTCAACAATTTGCATGGGGTATACTTGTTTGTTTACATAAAGTATATAATATTGATTGCTTGAGTAATCCACCTGAACTCACAGAATGTACCATTCGTTATTGCAAGTATGTCCTATGTGTATACGCGTTCATAAACCTGACATTTCTATGTTCTTTGAGGGCCTATACCTGTTTAGCTTCACCCCAGTCCTGACATGATGATGTTGTGCTTCTGTTAATGATGTGCTAACCTTTCTAGTTTTGCAATTATCTTTATATCCGGATATTTGTAAGCTAGGACACAACTATTTGAACAGAAGGGTGGATTTAT